TTTCCTTAAAAATTTGAAATTTAAGAACGTCAAATTATAGCTTAACTATAAGGGGAAGGACAGAGGCTGAAACTGCTGTTATACTGCCTATCTTGTTGACACTGTTGCATCAGATTACATCGTCATCTCAGATTATTCAACAAATTAGGGTCAAGACTTTAAAAATCTTTAGTAGAAAAGACATGAGGAAGCGTTGTTTACTTTTATCATCTCAGTCTGTAATGTTGGAAACAGATCAGTCGACTAAAATGTGCCGCCTCTCTGTTCAGCTGAGTTCATGAATACTACTTAACCTTTGAATGTCACCATATGGAATATCCCCCCACCCATTGTGTGTTGGCAAAAATACCAAAATCATTGATGGATGTGGATGTAATCATTAATGACCAAATCATAAAGTTATTTAGAGTGAGGATTAAATTGTATCTTTGCTTTAAGGTATGGTAAAAAAAAAAAAAATCACCTGTCGAGTAAAGATGTAATGTTTCTACTTGTGTCCGTGTGCTCGTTTGTCTGGACTGGCTTAAAATATCCACTTAAGTCGATGGATTTTATTGAAATTTTCAGACAGTAATCAACGAACGAGCATCTTAAACTGATCAACTTTTGGGGTTATCCTTGTTCAAAATGGCTGCCACAGCTAAGCAACATTTTGGCCAATTATACAGATATTCAGCAAAAATTGGACGTGCTAGTAGCTGAAAATCATTCCAAGTACATACTTTACTGGTCACACAATTTTTTTTTTTTTAATCTTTGCCATTAATTATTAGTCAATGTGTCTGTTAGTAAAATATCTCATGAATCACTGAATAGACTTCATTGAAACTTTTAGAAAATAAATTTTGAGTGCGTATCTATAACTGAACAACATTTGGAGCCAGTCCAATAGTTAGTTAATTTTAGTAAGCACAACAATGGCTATAACATGCAATTTTACAAATATTACAACAAAACTTGGTGTGGTAGTAGATGAGAATTATCCCAATACATACTCCGAGTGCTACACCATTTGTGAAACATTTGCCTAAATTGTTTGGGAATAACTAATCAACCTTTTTATGAACCACTGCACATATTTACTATGTAACACTCATAATTTTTAGGTTTGACAGTGCAAGATGGTCACCGCAGCTAATTAACCTTAGTTAACACAAAAATATCTATACTTCAAATTAGGGACGCACTGATCCATTTTACCATCCAATACCGATACCAGAGGTTTAGTATCAACCGATACTGATCCGATACTGACCTGATACATTAAAACAGTGCTGAATTAACTTAAAACATTTGTTTTTTTTAAACGCAGACATAAATGCACAGAATTACAAATTAGTTGAAAACTGCAACAGTACAGCACACTTAAACACACCAAGCTTGGTCAAACATGAAAAAAAACAAAAAAAAAAACTTCAACAAACCTTGCAAATGGTTCAAGAATTCTAAATATAATGTAAAATAAATACTAAAGGAGGTGAAATAAGATGGAAAAAAACAATATCTTCACTAGATTGGTTGGCAGATATTTAAATAAACAACAATTTGCTCCTTGGTCACATTGTCACTAGTACCCAAGCAAGAATTTTCTATACCAAATACCGATACTAACATCGGATCGGTACTTCAAATGCTGTCAATTCTGTGAAATCTTGCAGTATCACATAAATGTAATTTACATGGTTTGACCAAAATGTCTAACTCTGTCCTTATTCAGAAATGGTTTGCTTGATTTGAACACTCCGGCACCAAAGGCAGCAGAGGATGTGCATTCCCTCAAATAATGCTGCATCTTTATTTCATTTCAGATTTGATACCAAAACTCCCAAATAAAGCAAATTTATGAAGTGAAATCACAACTTAATCTGTTTGCACACGCACAAAAAATGGATTTGCTCTTAAGAGAAAATGTGATATAATAAAGTAAACCCAAGTGTCTTAAATCTCACGGAGAAAGAGAAAGTGAGAGTCATGTGCAGTTAAACTTCTGCGTCATGTTTTACCAGAGCCCATTTCTCAAACTCATCCCTCACAGGGCCTCAACGCACAGATGATTATTACTGCTGCTGCTCCTGTTGTCTGGCAGGAATACATGACTTGCCCTGGCTGTGGCTGCCCCCTCCCCTCCCCTCGCCTCCCCTCGCCTCCCCTCCATCAGCTCCCTTCCAGTGGTTCCAGACTGGAATGCCTATATTTAGAATGCTCCTTTCCGCTGTTATGGCTGTTGAATCATTAGCCTTGTTTAACCCTTCTTTCCCTCCAACGAGCTGCCTGGCTGAGGGCATGCCCCCCAGGGGTAACACCCCCTCGCCTCGGAGTCCTGACTATGCCGCCCCACATTCTTCTATCAAATGTTGAAAAGGAGGGAAAAGGGAAACTGGGAGGCTTTTGGATGAATTACAAAACATTAAATGATGCTAAAGAACCACAACGTGTGGATATTTTGAAGAAATCTCTAGGCCGGAGAATTCCAAATTATATTCTGTAAGACAGAGTCGAAACTTTGGCATTTTCAAAACCTTTTTATGAAACATTTAGCAAGATTTATGTCTCTTTTTTTATATACCTTTGAGCATAATTGCATTTTATGATGCACTGAGCTGTCAAAGCACTATGCATGCATGTTTCTCAGAGCATAAATAGAGCATTTTGGATTTGGCATTTTATAATCTCATTAGATTTCATTCTTACCGCAGGCAAGGATGTAATAAAGCTTCTCGCTGCTTTTGGTTACAAACACTTGAGTTGCAAGGGCACCACAAGTGGAGACTCTGAGTAGTCAAGCTGCAAACGCAGTAAATCAGTAAAAATACCTATGCTCGAACTGTAATCTGTAACTAATCTAAAGCCCTGTTTTAATTAGAGATTACATATGCAGGCACCAGCATTAATTAATTACATTCTCTTTATATCACCTTGTTTTTCAATAGACATATCTCTGGTGAGATAATGTCTTCCAGACGTATTCTGCAGACATCTACAACAGTGAGGCAGCTGATAAAAGTCTTATGTGAGAGGAAAAAATAGACAAATTGAAAATATGATAAACTAGAGAAATTGCATTTCCTGTGAAAATGCTTATTGCTTAAGAAATTGCTGAAAAACAGCTGAAATGTAGTTAAAATAGAAGAACAGGCCTAATTTAGCAGACGAAAGTAGAAAATACCCTTATTTGCTGAATTAGGTTTAAATTAGCAGACATTAGCAAAAAAAGTTAGGAAATGAGCTAAAACAAAGCTGAAATTAACAAAAAGTAGCTGAAAAGTAGCTGAAAAGTTAGAAAGAAGTTCAATCTACCAGAAAGAAGGAGGAGGAGCTGAAATGAGTTAAAACATGTGGAATTAGTTGAACAAGCAAAAATGAACACAAAACAGCTAAAAGGTAGCTGAAATAGCAGAAAAAGATTAAACTATCAGGAAAAAGCTGAAAGAAGCATAAGTTGAAATGAGCATAAATAAGTTAATTAGACTGGAAGTAGCAGAAATCAGCACAAAAACATGAATTGATCTGAAAACAGCTGAAATTAGCTGAAAAATGGTTAAAAAGGTAGTTGAAAAGGTAGAACAAGCTTAAATTAGCAGATGAAAGCATAAAGAACATGTTTGCTGAAAGAAGCAGAAATGAGCACAAAAAAGCGGAAATGATTGTAAAAAGAGAAAATTAGAAAAGAAAACTGCTGAAAAGGCAGAAAGAAGCTGAAATTACAAGAATGCGAAGAGAGCACATTTTTGCTGAATTAGGTGGGGAAAAAATTGAAATTGGCATAAAACAGCTAAATAATAGCTGAAATCGCAGAAAAAGCTGAAACTTACAGAATTAAGCTAAAAGGAACCTAACAAGTTGAAATTAACAGAAAAAAGTTAGAAGGATCACAAAACAGCTGAAAAAAAAACAGCTGAAATAAGCTGAAAGTAGCTGAAAGAAGCTGAATCAGAATTATAAACAGATCTAAAGATTTGAAGGATGTAAAATGAGCTCAATTCAGTTTCAAAGCGAAAAAAAATGTCAAAAAAGGCTAAATATTTCAAAAAGCTAAAATTGCACCAATACCAAAAGTCATAGCAGGATTGTCCTAAAACAGCTGAAGGTTTTGATTTATGATTTGTTGAAATGGGTTGAAAACTGCGGGATGCGAATCGCGCCGAAAACACACAGAATAAAAATGGATCACAGTTGCGTGAATGCTTCATAAACATTCACACAAAAATAAACCAACTGGACACATTTGATTCTAAATCCACAAAATGGTCCACCTTGAATACTTTAGGGCGGACGTAATTTGACACAATCCACCTCTTTCCCCACAAATTAAAGAGTTCATCACCAGCAGTAAAACTGCTCTGAGCCATCACACATCTGCTGAAGGGAGATTTACTTCTTCCTATTTACATCTTGGCACCTAGATGATCCTCGTCTTCCCATCTTCACAGCAGAGAGCACTGATAAACAACGCTGGCCTGCCAAATTTCCTCAGCTTGTTGATTACTGTTGGGTCTGTCTTGATTTAGGACGAGTGGGACTAATCCGAGATGATGTGATCTGTCTGTCAGTCATGGCTCCAGTTAGTCAGAGTCGACTGATTGAAAGGGGCACATGAGCCAATACATCCTACCTAATATACACACTGCGCATCCTAATTTATGGAAAAGAGGCGATTTTTAAATTCTGAGATTGATAATACTGAGTTCCCAGTTTTAATTTGAACCACTCACAATACAGAAGTTTCCAAGACATCTGGCTGTTTTTATAATTTACTTTATTTTTTCCTTCTTCCAATAGCCTTACTGAAATACAGTAACGCTTACAGTATGTTCTTGTTAATAGAATATTAAGAGCTTGTTCCGTGAATTAGATTGAAAGTATAATCAGCTCGAGCTTTCTGTACTAATTTAGAAAACATAAACACTAATGCTGCCGAGAGGCTTGTAATCTTTTTGTTTATGTCCATAGTTGTGATGCTCTCTCTCTCTCTCGCGCTCTCTGTGTGTGTGCGTTCATACCAGTGTGGATCTGCCGATGAGCCTCCAGGGATTCCTCTGTCTGGAACTGGGCGCCGCACTGGTCACAAACTATGGCCTTTTCACCAGCTGCACAAAAAGAAACAAGTGGACTGTTATCCTCAAACATTGCATCACATCAGGCAGCAGAATCGAGTTAAGATGGACACAACTGGAAAAAAAAAAAGAAAATGGGAACCAATATAATTTTTTTAAACTTTGATTCAGACTTATTGACATTATTTAAAACTTGTTTGATTTTTTTAGGATAAATTAACCATATTGGCAGGGGATCTGCGTTTTGAAATCCAGAGATGACCTCTTTAATGTGAACCGTTAATTAAAATTACATATTTGGATTTGAGGACATAAAGGCAGCTAAAACAGAATAAAATAAAAACAAATCCTTTAAACCTCTGTGTTCTCTCAATTACAGCATACGCTCGTGTCAAACAAATCCCAAATAGCACAAACTAACTGCAGAAGCAACAGCCTCGGGTGTCCTGTGATGGGCTTGTGACCAGTCCAGGGAGTCCCCCTCCTGGAGATGGGCACCAGGTCCCACATGACCCAGAAAGGAAAAGCAGGTAAAGAAAATGAATAGTTGTTAGATGGACTAAAGGTTGAAAAGTTTTATCAGAATAAAATTCAGTTGTATAAACAGTGTGAATGTTATGAAGCATTCACACTATTGTGATCCATTTTCCTTCCGTACATTTTTTTGGCGCGATTCTCATTCCACAATTTTTGTGCTATACATCAAAACGTTCAGCTCTTTCAGGACAATGACTTTTGGTATTAAGGCAACTTTAGCTTTTTGAAATATTTAGCCTTTTTCTGCCATATTTTTTCTCATAGGAAAATTAATTGAGCTCATTTTTACATCCTTCAAATCTTTAGATCTGTTTACAACCTTTTACTGCTGCTTTCACATTTTGTTCAGGTTCAGCTTCTTTCAGCTTCATTGTGAAAATTTAAACTTTTTTTTTAGCTACTTTCAGTTAATTTTGTTATTCAGCTGTTTTGTGATCCTTTTAGGTTCTTTCTGCTAACTACGACATTTCTGTGCTTCTTCTAACTTTTCTGCTAATTTCAGCTTGTTATGCTCCTTTCTGCTTCTTAGATTATCCTGATTTTTCAACTACTGTTTTTATGCTAATTTGAGCTTTTTCAGTCAATTCCATAAGTTTTGCACTCATTTAAACTTTTTTCAGCCTAATTCAGCAAAAATGTGATTGCTCCACTTTCTTCATATGATTTCAGCTTCTTTCTGCCTTTTTTAGCTACTATTCAGCTGTTTTTGTTTTGCTAATTTCAGCATTGTTTTCCAGATAATTTCAACATTTTGTGCTCATTGCTGTTTCTTTCAGCCTAATTGGGTAAATGTGTTCTTTTTGCTTTGTGATGCTAATTTCAGCTTGTTCTACCTTCTCAACTAGCTTTTAAGATCATTTTAGCTGCTTTCAAATAAATTAAATTTTTTTGTGGTAATTTCTGCTACAATCAGCCTAAATAACTTCTTTACACTAATTTCTTTCTTCTTTCTGCTTATTTTAGCGTCTTTGTGCAAGTTTCAGCTTTTTCTGCTATTTCAGCTACTATTTAGCTGTTTTATGCTCATTTTAGCCTCTACAGCTAATCCACATTTTTTTAAAAACTCATTTTAGTTCTTTCAGCTTCCTTCTGGTAGTTTAAGATTGTTTCTGCATTATCAGCTACCTTTCAGCTATTTTTATTTTTTGCTAATTTCTGCTGTTTTTAGCTAATATCCAAATTTTTTGTGCTAATTTCTGCTAATTTAAATCTAATTCAAAACAAATGTGTTCTTTCTGCTTTCTTCTAATAATTAAGGCTTGTTTTTTTCATGTCAGACACAATTCAGCATGTATTCTTTAGCTAATTTCAGCTGTTTTTCCAGCAAGTTCTTCAGCAATAAACATTCACACTGCTTTTTTGCAGGAAATGCAATTTCTACAGTTTACTTTTATATAAGAATAATGCTTATATTTGTGCATTTGTGATGGATGATTTGATGTAATATGTTTTGCAATTCAGCCTACAGAGCAGTTAGACGCATAATTTGATGAGTCAATCTTTTCGCCCTCAGACTGGTCAAACTCAGCTCCAAATTTAATGAATATGCAAATTGTGGTGGAGTATCAACTCCCATGCAGGATTTATGTGGGCTGATTCGTAGAAACAAGTTTTTTATTAGTTGTATATACTGTAGTTTGCATTAAAAACCACAGGATTATCCAGTTAGCATTGTTTACATCCACCTGATTTGGCTTTTGGTTAAAAACAAGATACTCCACATCGTTTAGTTCCATTGGTCTCATTGGATGTGCAGTACAGACTTTTAAATAATTCACCTTCGTGTAATAAATTTCCAAACAAACTTTTTGAGACTACCTAAAGTTGGACGTATTCGAACACCTGTTGTGTAAACAGAAAATTTCATTTCTAAGTCCAATATGTCAAAGTATTTTACGTTATTAAAGGCAGTGAGCCAAACTCAAGAATGCATCTCTGTGGTTAACACATTGCATGATCTTAAAGATGGGAAGTTATGGTTGTGCACAACTCCACTTGTGTCATACTACACTTCTGTTTATGCAAATATTTCAGCTATGCAGCCCTTGAGCTACAGGCAAAATTGCTATGTTGGTTTACATTTTATGAATGTGTACAGCTCTTTTTAACAATAAAAAAGGGAAGCAGGAGGTTGGGCTTGTACACACACAGGGTGCTATTGAAGGGCGCATCGAATCAGAGGCAGGCAAATGACTTTTTGTGGCTTGGCAACAAGCTCAGTACATGCCATACACATCGCACATCAAACACACACACACACAAACAATTTTAACATCTGGATATTGTGTGTGCAAAACAGGCCTGCGTGTGTGTAGTGAACCAGATGACCTCAAATCTACCAGATGGACAGAGACTGTTATTTTCATTGAT